GACATCGAGCCATTGACCACTACCCTCTGGACACGACCATCCAGCCAGTTCGTTATCCACCGAACAGCCCACCCATCAAATCCATAGCTCTCCAATTCAGAGAGAAGGATCAGTGAGTGTTTCTTGGGCTTCCCGGCGCTAACTTGCGCTCTTCCAAATGTCAGCTTCTCTGATATTTCAGCTTCTGAAAACAAGGGAATAAACCCGAGGTAACGCAGATTTAATTACCTGATATACGAGAAAGGAATCGGGTTCTTCCCGCAGCCTTAATCTGTTCTCTTCGGCACATGGCTTGGTTCTTGCTTTCACGCCTGCTGCTCTCTCCCCACCGGACGTAGCGGGAGCCGTAGGGAACGGGAGAAGCGGTTGATGAATACATATTTGGTGAGCAAAGCTGCCTCCTCGGGCTGGTCTAGACAAAATACGGAACTTGCCGCATTGGATTATCGCAAACGTTGTGGTAAATGTAAAGGCAGAAATAAATCTGTCTTAAACTTGGCCTTGGCGGTCAGAAATCAAACGGAATCCTGTTGCCCTGGGCGCGGCGGTGGGGTTTGGGCGACGGGAAAGATGCCGCCTGACGCCGAGAAAGCAGCGGTGGGCAAGCCTGGCAGGAAGGGGCCTGGTGGACCGCCCAACCGCGCTGCTTGGACGTCATCATCCAGCGGCATGCGGGGTCCCGGGGGAGCTGGGTTTTGAGCCTGTGGGGGACCCGCACACGCATCTAAAAAGTTGAGACAAAGCAAAGTTGCTTCTTAAAGCGCTCTTGGTTCCTGTTGCTTTGGTGTTTTGTTGGTTAAAAAAAAAAATAAATGCATTTTTTGTTCTCCTTAACTCCTCTTTTGAAGAGGCACTGATGGAAATAAATGGTTTGAAGCTGCTCCAGGGCAGGTTTAGGTTGGACATTAGGAAAAACTTCTTCAGCGAAAGGGCTGTCAGGCTCTGGAAGGGGCTGCCCAGGGAGGTGGTTGAGTCCCCATCCCTGGGGGGATTTAAAAGAAGGGTAGATGAGGTGCTGAGGGCCAGGGTTTGGG